CTATAATTAAACGTGCTAACCAATAAGCGATTGCTCAGACAAGTGATTTTAGGACAGTGTTATTGGTTTCTGGATCTTCGGCACATGGATGTGTAAGCTGCATCATGTGTGCGGCTCGGTGGGTCGAATCGTGTCCACGTTTCTGATCACAGCGATGAGTTTCGATCGCTACGTGGCCATATGCCATCCGCATCACACCTACTTACGGAGTCGATCCTTTGTTCTCGGAGTGATCAGCTGTGAGTTTCAATTCATGAAGTTCTGCAATATTTCTACTTTTTCCATACGTTTCCATGCTGCAATTCGCAAGAATACATCGACGGCAGGTGATACAATAAATATTAGGTAGAAGAAGGGGAAACTGTACAAAACTAGAGGCGGATCTCCCAAAGTAACAGTGTGAGGCGCGTTTTGTCTGCGAAGAATCTGCCCATAGCGGCCCAGCAGGGTCCTATCCGTCTCTCTCGACCGGGCACCCGACAGGCCTACCGCGCGGCTAGGGCTGGAAACGCAGATAGATCACGGCGCGACTTTTCGTGTCTACTCTTGTGTCGTCGTTCGTCTTGCGGGTCGCCTGCCCAATTTGCTCTCTGTGACCGCCTCACACCCAATTTTGAAGGGGTTTTATAAGCTTAAATAGCCGATTTTCCAAGAATTCAGTTTTCCAGCGAAATGTATTTTGTTGTTACACATCTGTTTGAAATGCTAATTTCATATGTGAGGGGAAACCAAGATTTCGATCTAAAATAGTTTTGAAAATAAATAAAAAAATAAGTGGGCCTCCACTTTGAGATTCTATGCCGTTCTTCTCGGTCTCCATGCTATCTCTGGACCATATTGCGGCTTTGGAGCTTAGCTCCGCCCACCACGTTGCCCATCCGCATGCTCCACCTACCGATAGCTTTTGATCTCCACTCCTTTGTTAACCATTGTCCGTTTTTTGGGATCTCTGAACTGTCTGAAGTGGTTCGTAGATCTCATGGTAATCTCCGCCTATTTCGGTGCATGCCACGCCCACCAATAGCTTAGGGCTCCGAATGGAATACATTCCATGAGGAATGTAGCTCGTAAATAATGTTGCATAATTTCTTGTGAATTCATTCGGCAAAGCAGATCTCGTTTTGTTTTCCAGGTCTTTCAATTCTGGCGTTCTTTCTTCTTTTACCGATGCTTACCTACGCCCGAGCGAAGGAGATGGTGCTGCACGAGTTGAAAGCACTTGGACAGCTTCAACATTACACGGGTTCGAGTCTTCAAATGTTCGGATATGATGCCGCCGCCGATATTCTATTGGTTCACATCGACGTAAGTGTTGCATTTCTCACGCGTACCATATGTAAAGGCAGAAATGGTGTACTGGCAAGCGGCTAGTTATTGTACCACGGGCACGGGTCGGGGATCAAATCCAACATCATGCGTCTTCTCTTCGTGATGCCTGACCAATTGCCACTTGACTTCTTTGGAAGATCAAAATACTGACTTGTACATTGGCAAGTCATCGTATAGGCCAAGTACATAACAAGTACTACGATCCAGAGTGAAGTGAATTCGTCTGCTTGTCTCATTACGCTGGAATTGATCATTCAAGGCCATGTACCCTCATTTCTTCCATGCCCCATTATAAGAAACTAACAAACTTCACCTTTTTGTTTCTTCTGCTCCACATATATTGGACGTCATCAAAAATCCCAGTTCCACTGCCCGACCAACTAGGAAAGGACAAAAAATAGTGGAGGGTGGCCTTACGACTAGGGATACCCAAACAAATAATCATCCCACCTCCCGCGTTCACTAAAGTGCGGCAATTGTTCACAGGGGATTTTCGGCACTCAGGAGACTCAAAATTTTACCCCTCTCGTGTGCTTTGTGAAGTTCCTTGAGTTGTTCGATCCACCTGTGCCATTGAATTTCGCCCTTTGCCAGCAGGGTGAATATCGCTTGAGGATTCCTCAACGGCACGTCGAGGATTCTCTGCCCGGTCAGACACGATCTCTCGCGCGGACATTCACACTCGCCATGGGCGTGCCGTCTGTGCTCTCCGCGCGGATGTTCACTCTCGGCACTACTCTCACATGGTAGAGAGCTATGGTCGAGGAAATCCTCGACCGTTATTCACCCTTTGCTGCCGCAACGACACTGTAATTGGAAGTGTGGTATGCAGTGGCGCTGCCTACCACGTCGCGCGGTTCTCGGGGATTGAACCATGGTCTGCGTCGTCCCGCTCAACCAAGTGCTCTCAACATTCCCCGGCGTCGTCACTGATACCAGATTCGCTTCGGCGTTACATCTACCACTATTGTTATCAGTAAGTCAACTGTACAGGCCAAATCGCTTTCAATTGCCAGTACCAGGGTACAAATGGAAGTAGAATGCGTGCTGTAGCCCAAAGAGGGATCGACCATTGGCAAATGCTTTATCCTTTTATCCTTTATCCTGAAATGGGGTGATGGGGTGCAGAATGATCCAACGGGTGTGAAAGTGATGTTTTATCTCCACAAAAACAACGGACCTCCGTGTAAGTGACCTGAGAACGGAGTAGATGTGCGTGAGAAGGAAATTCATGAAAAACCGTGAGAGTCTCAAATCAAAAGACTTTGAGATGTGGGAAACGAGCGGAGGATTGAAATCAAATATAGGCTTTCGGGAAAGTTCCCGGGGATCGAGTGGAATAATCGACAAACTACAGCTTGAGCCCTGAGATTCTCGTACTTTTCCGTCAGAAATTAAAAAATTGTAAGGAAGAATCGGGACGATTTTGCTACTTTTCAGAACATTCATTCTTGGTTATGTCGTGCCGTTGATTCTTATTGTGTTCTTCAATTGGAAGCTTATTCGTAAGCTGTACGTTCATAAAAGGTCAGCTATTTTCATGCCTAAAAAAGGATCTCCGACAGGATTTCTGTAGTAAATGGATATGATTGCAGAGTGCTGCCACGATCTTCCATACCACTTCGACGAGTCGTTATGTATACGGTTTTAATTGCAGCTGTCTATTTTGTCTGCTGGACACCCTACTGGTTAGTTTAAGGGGACGCGCAAAGGATATTTCCTTCTCAATATATATTTTTAAAGGTTCTCCGTACTCTACGCCATAGTGATGTCATTGGTTGGCTTGCCAACGACGAATAGTGAATTACTCCTGTTTGTGATATATTGCGTCCATTTATT